TGGTCAAACTGACACATCCACTGACAGCGCTGGTCCACGGGCCTCAATTTTCACCCCAGCGTGAGGACCCCACACCCAGCAGTAGTTTTCAATTAGACAGAACGGAAGGCAAAGCCGGGTGTGATGCTAACGACCTTTGCGTCAAACCCTGGCTGTCGCTGTCACAGTGAGCGCACGCAGGAGATCTCACTCAGTTCCATCTTCCCTTCCCCTTTAATTCCTCCTTTCTTTTTCTCTGTTTTTCCCTTCTTTGAGTGCGAAAGCTTCTCAGCTTATTCTCTATCCCGTCACCTCCAGAGGGCAAAGGGAGGGTGGGGATGGAAGGAAAGCAGGAAAAAGGAGGGGGAAAGTGTCAGGAACTCATTTAATTTGAGCACGGAGTCAAGCAGAGCGTACTGTATGTTCACCACCTGCTAGCTGTGGATTCAGCCGCTGGCCATGATGCTATGATGCATGGCGTGTGCATGTGTGAAGCTAAAACTGACAACGTCACAGCACTGCATGGCTTACTGAAGCAAACAGAGAATGGGATTACCTCTACCTATTGATTAGCTGAATTACACTCACAGGAGATAGTTCTGAATGACAGCCCAAAATACTGCAAAGGAAGATCAAGGCAAAGTGTCCTTACGATCAATATGATGGCAGCTTAATAGCACCTGTCTCCTGTGTCATTTTGAGCTTTTCTTTGCTGTTGCCATGGTAATGATAATTTCTGTAATTCGCTGAATTGTACCATTTCAGAAAATTATTACCTATTTCTACTGTTTCAAAAGAAAGGCCAAAAAACTACCTGTGACTGGTGAGAGGAGACAAGACAGTCCAGTGTCTGATCAATACTTGGGTAAGGTGAGATAAGGCATCCATAGGACATCACGGCTGTCGGTTTTATTTTTATTTTTTTTGCAGAATACAGACAGCGTAACAATACCAGTCTTGGCTTGGTAGAAATATGGAGTTTACAATTTCACTGTATTGACTTGCTGCCATCTGCAATAACTCGCAATCACAGTCAGGTCTTAATTCTTGAGCAGCAAAACCATTCCATCCCATTTACCTCAGTGTCTTGGTTCATTTATAGCAGCGCAGGCAGTGTAATGCAGCAGAGCAGCAGAGGAGAGTGCCTGATTTGGTTAGAGAGTTCCTCTGTTGTCTTTTAAGAGATAAAATGCCTCAGAGTTTTGTCAGTAATCACTGTTTACTCTGAAGAGGAATGTACGACTCACATCAGTAGAAATTGTGTTTAACCTGATGTCGAGGTTGAGTGTACGTTTGTGTGTGTGCGTGCGACTATGTGTGCGTGACGTACCGCATCCCAAACGCCACACGTCTGGCCTTCATGAGTCAGTAATTTAGCAGGTCTAGATACACTTCACATCAAGCTGTCAGTCAAGCCCTGGCGGCTGTGTGCTTCCTGACCTTGCAAGAGCCGTTCTCAACATCTGTCCTCTAAACACAACTGTCACATCTCACACACCACACAATATGTCTGAGCCCATCTGAAATAACATATAGAAGAAGATAGAGTGGAAACAGCTACTCTCTGTCTAGCCTGCAGACGTTCAGCATCCACACTGATAAATACATTTCACAACGTCTTACTGAGACGCACCGATGAGACCGTTTAACATGTGATATTTTCACAACATCATGCACTGGCCTAATTCAAAATAAAGTAGGTAGCTGCAATACACAGGCTTTCATAAATAATAGTCTGCATGACAGATACATAAAAATGTGCTGGATGTGTCAGTAATATTTATAGTATTGCCTTCAATGTAGATACTGTGACTGTTGACCAAGGCCATGTAGGAGATCTGTTGCCATATGTATAGTCAGTGAGCCACAGGACAAAAAAAAAAAGTGTTTCTTTTAAAGTATATACAAACTAGTATTCCAATATTATATATAATAATACAAAGATTTAACAGAATGCATGCCGAGTCAATTCTAGATCCAGAAAATTAATTTATTTCTTCAAATTCTAAAGCCAAATGAAAGATGAGGCAGAGACTTTTTGTGTTGGCTCTGTAGATTATGATCCAAGTCCTACCACGTGGCTACATATGCGGACCAGTCACAGAGCAGCAGCAGCATCACTACGCTTTCAATATCATCAATGAAAATGGCTACACCAGGCATGTAAGCATCACATTCAGCCTTGTTTATACTGGCTTGTGGACATGGACAACTACAGGATGTGCAGCTGTTGTTACTATGCTTCTTCTCTAGCCTTAGGGAGTTTGCTTTTTGCACAGTAGGTGATATCAACGTATTACACATGTGTAAACTACTGTCAAACATGTACAGTACTGTCTTTGTAGTGTAGAAACCACGGAGTAGATTGCACTAGAGGAATCTGTGATGACTCTTTAGAAGTTGGGGAGATGATTATGCCATAGCTGACCCTAAAGTACTCGTGGGCACCGAATACAAAGCGCTGACCTCAGTGGTGTGTCTGAGCCACAGAGATCTGCACTGCAAAAGCAAAATAGTCTAAATATAAATTTCACTACATAAGATCACCTTGTTGGCATTTATTTTGCTAGTATCAGCAAATGAACTTTCTAGTGGGTAGATGTTAACTTATCCGTATTACTTTTGCTGGGACAAAATGAAAGCCCACTGTCTTGTTTTGCCACAACCCTACATTGTACATGCACTGCAAGTGTAGACATGAAATATATGTTCTGGTCCTCATTTGCTCTGCAAACAGTCTGCATTAGTGTAATCACTACCTTATTGTGGTTTAACTGAAGGAAGCTTTTTGCCATGTAGGATTTGACATCCTAAATTGCAGTTCAGGGGCGTTTAAACAGGACAAATCACAATTAGAGGGAGGTGCAGCTGGATGGTTATATTTTCTTTACATATACCTCAAAAAAATACAATAGGGCCTAATACGGAGCCCTGTGTTACTCCACAGGGATGGATGCAGAGGAAGAGGACGTTATCAGCTTTAAGTCGAAACGACATAAAACAACATGCCTTCAACACAAAAACATGTTTCCAAGGCGGTTAAAGAGATTTAAAACCATCTGCCACCATCCAGAGCTGATTCTGTGGTATTGTGTCCTAAAACATTAAACATGAGTGTGGCCAAGACGGAAAAGAGTTGAAAGAAAACCTTTCCAGCGGGTGTATAACAGCTTCTTTAAAACAAGTTGGGACGCCAACACTGACCAAGGAAGAGCAGCACTTCCTTTAAAGGTCAAAGAGGAAATATAAATTGGTTTAATAAGTTCAGAGCATACATTGTAGGATCTCAAGAATGTTCAGATCTTTGCCGTGTTGAGCACTGAACTGGATAAACAGTTGACATTGCAGCTTCTGCGTCTCACATGCTGCACTCCACCTCAGTGCGGCAGTGTTGTGTTACAGCAGCGGATATGAACTCACCTGTCACGACATTAGACATTTAAATAACAGAATTGTGTCAGTTTAAAAAGATGAAGACCTGTCACAGAGAGCAGGCGCAGGTTAATGAGGGCATGACTCAGAGACAGCCTGAAGACACAGAAGAAAAGGAGCTGACATCTTCTTGCACTGAGACAAGCCGAGTCAAAGATCTGAGACTCCGCCGAGCTTCGGCTGTGATAACTTACTGCTTTAGCACCCACTCCGCCCCCACCTCTAAAACTTTTCCACTTGGCTCATTCGACTCCTACTTTGCAGGATGAGACGAGAGCTCGGCGCCCTTGAAGTTTCAATAGCGAAAAACTTTTCCATCAGTGCGCCCACAGTAGCTGCTCATGATCAGAGCAGCGTTCTGGAAAGCCTGCATCGGAAAAGCCAGTGGAATAAATAAGCCAAACTGAGAGGAAAACCCAACCAATTTGAGAACATTTGATTTGGGGTGGAGGAGAAAAACAGGATAAAAGAGTGAAAAAGAGAAAGGGGGGGAGGAAGAGAGAGAGGGGAAACAGAGGGAGAGAGAGTGTCAGGGGCAAGCCCTATTGATCTGGAGGCTTAATTAACCATCAGATGCCTCTGACACAGTCTCTGATCTTCTATGATCAGTGGCAGAGTGGCACCGCTCTTGGGGGAGATGGTGGAGAGGTTATAGAAAAGAAACAGGAGAACGGTTGGGAGAAGGGCAGAAAGAGAGAAAGTGCAGATCACTGATAGATTAGAAATGTACTTTGCAGAGTGTGAAGACAAGGTGGAAGGGTGACGGGGTGAGAGGTGAACGAGAGAGAAACTGAAAACACGGAGTTCATGAGAAAAGAAATGTCAGGAAGAATGTTAATTAAAAGAATTAAGAAAAAATAAAGAAAAAGAGAGATGACGAAGGACAAATAGCAGATGTGTGAAAACGAAGGAAGGATTGAGGACAAATGATGTCAAACAGCTGTATATAAACCTACAGTGTGTGTTGAGGAAAGGTGTGTGGACACATTTGAGTATATTGCATCACTCCCCACAAACATGCCCTCCCCACGCTGATGCAATCACCTCCAGCTTCCATGCATATGTGAAAGGGCCATCGATGTTGAGATGACAGCTGTGACTAGTCGAGGATTGAATTGCCAATTCTAATACACCTGAAGAGCCGAGATCTCAGCCCGCTGATGTCGACTGGGTAGAATGGGAATTGACCCATGTGAAACCAGTCGGGAGTGGAGTGAAGCTGGGGAGGATTGGGGCTGACGTTAATCCCTGAGAGGTTTGAATAGCGAAACGGCGGCGTACCTTGGAATGTGATGAAGGGGGATGAGCCTTTGAAGGTGATGCTGGTTAGAGCTTTGAAGGAAGGCGCATTTCAGAGGGGCTGGGGTTAATGTTAAAATTGATCTGGGAATGTCAGATTACAGACAACACCAGTGTATGGGAAAATATATTCAGTGCGGATGAGGTGAGCAGGTCAACTACACTTCCCATCAAGGTGAATGGAAAAAAAAAAAATCCAATTTATGGAGTAATTTTCGTGGAGCAGCAGTTGACACAAAGATACAAAGGTGGCGAAAAAGATAGGAAAAAAAACAACAAAAAAAACATACCAATGCGTCCGATAGAATTAGCTCGCGGTGTGGAAATGTTGTCCAGGCTCTCAGCGGTTTCATAAAGAGAATGGGAGATCCGGCGTTCATTGCTGTCAAGCAGGGAGTTAACGGGATGCTCCAACAACGGAGGGCTGCCAAGAGCTTCCTACACAGACAAGGACAGAGGGAGAGGATAGATGTTACACATATAAACGTGTACACTTCAAAAATAAAGGAAATTAGTTAGCAATTAAGTTTAAAACATGTTCCTTAAATGCCAACTTTGGGATTTTTCAACACCAATACAGACAAAATAATTGATAAATTTACATTACAGATGAAAAAAATCTGCAGTTTTTGTCTGAACAGTTGGACAAACAAAATGACATACTATCTTTGCAACATTTTAAGAAAATAAGACAATCCTGAGCCATTTATGTGCTGTGGCAAGACACAATATCCTGCTGGAGGAGGCCACTGCAATAAGGCATTGGAGGGTGAGCTTGGTCTGGACCAATGTTCAAATGGGGGGTATGTGCCAGAGGTGAGATCCACATGAATGCCAGGACCCAAGGTTTCCTCACATTGTAACAAGATGATCAATACTATTTACTTCACCTGTTTATTTGTTGTTGTTTTTTTGTGTAAGTCACGTGTTAAATTGAAGGATTACATTTTGAAAATTCCAAATGCGATGTAATCTGAGTTATACAAAACACCTGAAACCTACCGAGTACCTACTCAGTGTATGTGTGCTATACAAACAGGAAGCTACAGAGTAATATTCACAGGGAAAAGAAGAACAGCGTCCACGTCATCTAACTTCTAATGCGGTGCCATCAATACTCCAGGAACATGGAACCAGGGCTTCAGTATCCATCTCAGCTTACGTTGGTATTTTCTGGTTCAGCAGTGTGAAACGGGTCCTGCAGTAGTCTGAGCTGGATAAAGCTCCATGGATTTCCCATAGGCCAATAGACAGCTGTCTCTAACAATGAACCCCAGTAAATGGACCAGTGACATTTGCCACGTCGTCGATGTGCTGCACTGCTGGTTATTGAGCCCACTGTACACTCAGTGCATGTGTCAGTCTTGACAGGGGGACATGGTTAGTGGTTAGTCTTTAGGTCTGGGACCACTGGGCCAAGAGAGTGTGTCCAGTCTTCAACAGCCAACAGTCTGTCAAATGTGGTATTTTAGAATAGAGACAATGCAGCTACCAAAGCAGGAGTCAGGAACCAGAAAAGAAAAAAAAAATCTCACATCCACGTGTGGAGAGTTAGAGAATAAAATGTAGGCCTTGGCCTTATTCCCTACAATGCTTCACAGCAGCCTGTGGGCAACTGGGACAATGCACTGGAGAAGAACTCCCTGTATAGGACCTATTACAGATCGTGTAGTTCAACTGTACCTCAAGCATGCTTTAAACCAGGAGGCCCTGGCTAATACTGATGTCTCACAACACTCTGCTGGCTCTCGGCCAGAAGAAAGGGGAGTGAACAAAAAATAAAATAAAAAAATCAGACAGTGACAGCAGCAGGAAGACAGGAGAGCAGGATGGAGAGGAAGACAGAGGAGGAGAAGAGGTGGTGGGGAGTTTTTTGGTAAACAAATGAAGGGGATTAGAAGGAAAGGAGAAGTGTGGGGGTGTGGGAGCTGAGGCCCCGGTTGTACTGTGGGTGCTGCCAAGTCGCCTCCTTGTGGGAGTTGTGCGTGCTGGGAGATGCATACCAGGGTGGAGGGACTTATCAGCTGTTTAATATAAATGAGAGGTTTAATTAGGTTGAGAGCACAAGACTTTATCGGGACAGAGTGTTGATAAGAGCGAGGAGGGAGAGAGGCTGTGTGTGAGTGTCTGTGAAATGGGGGGCTGGGTCAACGCAATTACAATCAGAGCCGCGGCCACTGGCAGCCTTTTAATAAAAAGCATGTCCCTGGATGATTCAGACTCAATAAGGTTCAAATTGTCGAAATGAAGATTTATTTTACTCGCTTTTGGCTCCTTTATTCAATCACTCTCTGCACTTTTTAATCTGTTTTAGATCTGGCGGAGACTTGTCATGAGCTGAAAAAAAGTAAGATGGAAGGGTTCGGGGAAGAGGTGAGAGGAGAAATGTGTGGACAGTGTGGAGCAGAGAGAGAGAGAGCGCACCTGAAAACCAAATGATATGAAAAGCATGTATAGAATGTGTCAAGTGGAAAAGATCTGAGAAAGACAACTATGTCAGCGCCTGGCTCTATCTGCACGAGCCGAGCAGGTTTATTTGACGACAAATCTCTGTCTTCTATGGCAAACAGACATTGAAATCAACATAACACGGCCAAAATTGCAGCAACCTAATCTTTGTGTATTCAGTATTAATTAAGTCTGCTTCTGTGCATGCTAATGCCTTAGCACGCTCCCGTTCTGTTTACCGACTCGTGAATGTTTACTGACTGGTGCAAGTTTAAAGACAAGCTGTGATGTTTTTATGTCAAATTTGCACACGCTGCTGTTAAATCATATCCAACTGTCGACGTGTTTTTTTTTCTAAGGAAGAAGTCTTTTGATGACTGAAGGCCTTTTCAGACAAGTGATCCCTAATGCTGCTGCTTCATTAATCTGGTAAAGTGACGGCATTCTCCATTTAGACACAGGTCACTTTAGACTCCACTCAGACAGACAGAACCACGGTTAGCACATATCTGTCACATGTGAGATTGAAAGTAGATCAAATGAGCTATAACACATGCCGCTGATAAAGCATAACTGTGCGAGACAGCTTACCTGTCTGAAGAGAAGACACGGTGTAACTAGACCCTATTCAATCCTGTCTACATGTTAAAATAAAAGTAATGAATGAAGTTGCTGCTGTTTTGCATAAATGTGTGCATCCTGTTGCTTCGAATGGGATGCTCATATGGATCCTGCTGCTGTCTGATGCTGAAGGTATTTATTAAACTAAGAAAAGACTCCTACAAACAGCTGGAAGTAACGGTCACACAACTCAAAGTGTGCAATGGCACGCTTGAAACTTGGGCTGTGTCAGCAATTTTACAAGGTTCTTACAATTAAGAGTCAATTGTCAACATATGTTTTTATAAAGAACATACCTATAAATGCAAACAAGAATATATTCGTTCTTGAAAACATGTTCCTGTAACTAAGGCAGCAGCTTCATAATAGGATGAATTGAGACAATCAGAGTTACCTCAAAAGACAAAACATAAAGTGTTAGTCACCCTGTAGATTTAACATCAATAAAACAACCCGAGGGGAGAACAAACTGTTATGCGGCATCACCGTGTGCAACCTGGAAATGTTAAATCCAACAACAACAGCAAGTTGATCAAGGAGCTTAGTTGTCCAAAAGTGGACTTGTTCCTTTAAGTCTCTTAGCGTTTTGGTGAGGATTTTAGTCCTTTCTTACCTCCAGTTCTCATCACCTCATCATGTGTTTAATCTGCCTTAATCTAGTCATTTTCAGAGTGGATTATCCTGTTGACTGAGGGAGAGGGCAGAGCACTGTGACTTACACTAAGCCCAGTCAAGATCAGCTGCTGCTCGGCTCCCATCGGACTCGCGAAACATGCTCGTGTGTGTTTATGTGTTCGACGTGATGCTTGCATTTGTCTCGGTGAGGACACTGTGTAAATGCGCGCTAACTGCATCCATGTGCATGCGTTTGAGTGTCTGTGTTTGCATTTATTTGCGGCAAGTGCAGACTCACGCACAAATGTGTTTTTGCCTGTGCATCAGCATCTGCCTGACCTTGAGTGCTCAGTGAGGAAGAAGAAGCAGTGTGTTGACAGGCATGGTCTTAAGCTGTCAACTAAGGCTAATAATGTCTAGTCCATGGCCATTTCCTGGCCTTCTATCCCGGTCTCAGCCTGTTGCCGTGGCCCTAATCCAGTCAACCTCAACCATAATGCTGTAATTACAATCCTTAAGCTGCTGCATCCTGCCCCAGGCACAACTCACCTCTCTGCTGGCTGGAACCCCACTTTCATTAGCTTCTCACATCCACCCAGAGCCTCACCTAATGCCAGTGCTTCCGAAAGTGGGCTCCCAGGTCTTTTAGGAGTTCTTAGCAAAACTTCAATTTCACCAAAACATGACCCGGCGAGCAAGTCAGCATAACTGCAGGATATGTGAGTGTAACTCCAGCTCAGGTTTAACTGTTGCACTACTGTTGTGTAACTAACTGAAGACATAAGAAATGTCTGGTCTTGGTGCCTCTGACGTGATAGATGATCAGGATCTAGCCAGGGGTGGGCAATCCTGGTCCTCGAGGCCCACAATCCTGCATGTTTTAGATGTTTCTCTCATCCAACACACCTGATTCAAATAATCAGCTCATCAGCAACCTCTGCAGAAGCCTGATAACGATCCTGATCATTTGAATCAGGTGTGTTGGAAGAGGGAAACGTCTGAAACATGCAGGATTGTGGCCCTCAAGGACCAGGATTGCCCCTCCCCCTGATCTCTGCCCCCGCCAGACGCTCTCACATCATCTCCTTCAACACTACAAGAGGCTCTGAGTCATAAGCAGTTGAACCCTTGCTACAAAAGCGACTGCTATCAACTGTGGATGCAACTTGGTTGTGTAGCGTTGCACCACCAGCTGAGCTACAGAGGTCTAAAAGCCATGCAGCAGCAACACAAGAAACAGCTGAGGAACGTACAACTTTATGCAAGCGTCTTCTGATGCAACGCTACCAACAACCTGGCAAGAGCCAATCGTGCTTGTTTTGATTTCCATACTAACAGAACTTCTTTTGCGCTTCACTGGTGCACTGAGGATAATTTCCAGCAAGCAGATACAGGACCACAATGCCAATCAGTCTTGCCAGCTTGGGCATCAATGTTGTATTAAACCAGATTCAACAACATGTACCATGTTTAAAAAAAAAAGAGCAACAAAAACGAAGTAATTTTGTGCTTGTAAAACAAATGCAGCAGAAAATGAACAACTTCCTCATGTGTAGTACGGCGTGGCTGTGCTAGGGGGGGAAAAAACAAAAACAAAACTGTCAGGAAAAAAAAAGTCTGTGCAGTCAGATAAGAATATGTAAAATACATGCTGAACACATGTAGGCTGCATGCTGATATCTGCGGAGGGGTCCTTGTGGGCTCGCATAGACGTGATGCAACTTTATATGAGCTGCTTGTTTTTTTTTGTTGTT